TCATGTTCTTGGGCTTCAGTTTTCCCTCTGTGCTCAGTTATAAGAAATGACTCAGTGACTCCACAATGGGATATGGATGGCCCTACTGTGTCTCCTCTCACCTTCTGCTTCTGCCACAGACTTTGTGGTGCTCGACGACACCCTCCATGTCCAGGCCACTTACATCTCGGGCGAACTGGTGTGGCAGGCAGAGGAAGCTGGGCCGTGACTGAGGATCTTGACTGGAGAGGACACTTGGCTCCAGCTGGACACTGACAGGGCAGGCAGTCCAGGGAGCTGGTCTCCAGGGAGCAAGCTGGGAGCCTTGCCCCAGGTCTCACACAGAACTTCATCACTCCACTGAAGGGGAGGCATAAATACAGACAACAGGACTTGCCTTATTTAAGTTGTGTTTTGAGTTATGCTTGTATTCAACAGGACTGCTGGTGTTCACTGTTTCTCTGGGACCTTATGGGACCAGGAAGGGTTGGATATACCAAATGGGACCTCCTCTGTAGGCCAGATCTGTTTTGAGGCCTGCAGACGCCCGGGAAGATGTTAGGGTGGGAAGTGAGTGGAATGAGCTTGGAGGGCAGCCACTGGGAGAGGTTGGAGACAGTAATCGTGTATGGCTGACCCTGAGCTAGATGGGCAAAATGGAAGCCATAGCTCCAGATTCTCTGTGCAACATTCAGGAGAGTGTCCATATGCTGGCCTTGGGACCTGGGGTTACTTAGCAATGAATGCAGGAATGGGTGCCTTAAGGGCCTCCGATTTGAGCCTAGGACTCCTCCCACTGTTCCCTAACCTGCCAGACCTGCCTAGCACCTTCTTGGATAATCAAAAGTTCCATTCCCTGTGGTGTCTTCTTTCAAAGACCCCAAGGGCTGAGAAATCCCCCCTTATTCCCATGTTTGGTGGCTGTGGCATGCCCTGCCTGGTGCTGGTGGGCAGTTCCAGGCCTTGTGGCTCTGTTTGCTCTGCTAGTACCACCCATGCACGGTATCCGTACCCTAGACTGCCTTGCCTTCCTCTCACGTGGGAAATGTGGTTACGCAGGCTCCCTGGAAGCATCATTGCACGGCCTTTGGGAATTCCTTTGACTTTAAGGATGGCTGTGATTGATGTAGGCAGATGTGCCAGAGGTTGGAAGTCAGGTCTTGGAATGCCTCCACTTTGCATTTGGGTCCTGGAGTTGTTGCCCCCTGCCCCCCCCTCATGTGATACTTTATATACCAAGTATATAAAGGTATATAAGGTATTTTTTATAAACCACCTTTATATACCAGGTCAAAGTTTGAAAATATTTAAAGAAAAAGAGAAAAAGAAAAGTAGGCAAACAAAATAAAACACTCTTGGACCTTCTAGTGTTTGAGAGCAGAGTCTGGAGAGCAGCTGCTGAGCAGGGCCACACCCCACTTGTCACTTGGGACACTGTCAACACAAGAAAGCCATCTTGAGGGATCCCAGACTCAGTGGGGAGAAAATCTGCCCCATTGCCACACTCCTCCAAATGACAAAGGACAGAGTGAGCATGAGTCACATGGGGCCAGTCCATCAGGACTCACCAGCCTATGGAAACCTCCCTCTGCTAGTGGAAGGCCTCACTCCCAAACTCTTCCTGAATGTTGACTCATTCCACCTATATTCCGGAAACCCAATGGTAGGCCTGTCTGTCAGTCACCTCATTTCTCAGATGAGGGGACCAGGCACTGAGTCCTGCTGCTGGACAGTTCTGGTGACCAGGACTCAGCTGGAGTCAAAAGGTGCGATTCATAGTAGAGAGCTTACCTTGTGTGCTTATAAGGCCCTGAGTTCTGTTTCCAGTACAGAACTGACCCAGACCTGCCCAGATCCAGTTTCACTGGATTCGTGCTACTGCTCTGGGTGGAACTCTGGGGGTGGTCAGATGAGTGAGCTGTGTTTTGGGGGCTACCCAGAAATGATGGGAACTAGCTCTGGGAAGGTTTTGAGGTAGACAGAACTGCCTCAGCAGTGGACAGGGGCAAGCAGACTTAGTTTTTCTTTGTGGGGGGAGGCAGTTCGAGACAGAGTTTCTCTGTCCTGGAACTCACTTTGTAGACCAGGCTGGCCTTGAACTCAAAGAGATCTTCCTGCATGCACCACCACCACCTGGCTGGATTGTTATTTTTATTAAAAAAAAAAAAACAAAAAAACAAAACAGGGCTGGAGAGATGGCTCAGTGTTTAAGAACACTTACTGTTCTTCCAGAGAACCTGTGTTCAAGCCCCAGCATCTATGTCAGGTGGCTTGCAACCACTTGTGACTAGACTAGCTTCAGGGGGATCTGACTCTCTAACCTGTGAGAGCACCCTGAACATCCCTTCACACAGACATGCACACACATAATTAAAAATAACAAAAACTTTTTTTTTTCATGACAGAGTTTCTCTGTGTAACAGTCCTGGCTGTCCTGGAACTTGTTTTGTAGACCAGGCTGACCTCGAACTCGCTGAGAGGCATGCACCACCGCTGCCTGGCTAAAAGCAAATCTAAAATGGGTGGTGGTGCCTTACCCTTTAATCCCAGCACTTGGGAGGCAGAGGCAGGAGGATGGCTGTATGTTCAATAGTAAATAATAGAAACCTTAAAAAAAGTATAAAATTGTTCAGCATAGTTTTGCATGTTTGTAATCCCCTGGAAGGTAGAGGCAGGAGGACCAAGAGTTCAAGATCCTCCTTGGTTGTATATCAAATTGGAGGCCAGCCTAGGCTGCATAATGTCAGCAAACTGGGGAGGTGTCTCTTGTAGCCAAGGCTAGCTTCCAATTCTATGTGTAGTTGAGGAGAACCTGATCCTCCTCTCTTCACCTTCTGAGGGCTGGATTTGCAGCTCTGCACCACAACTAATGTACTTGGTGCTGGAGGTTTGTGCCAACGCCTTGTGAATAACCAAGCACTCTCAACCGAGCTACCTCTCCAGACCCAAAATTTATGACTTAAGCCAATTAAAAAAAATTTAACATGTTTTTAATCCCAACATTTGGGAGGCAGAGGTAGGTCGATCACTGAGTTTGAGGTCTACATAGTGAGTTCAAGGGCAGCCAGGGAGGGGAGGGCTATGTAGAGAGGCCCTATCTCAAATTACCTTATTTTTTATTTGTGTTCATTGTTCATTTATGTGTATTCAGGTGTCCAAGGCCAGAAGAGAATGTCAGATCCCCTGGAGCATGTGGTGGGTGCTGAGAACTGAACTCTAGGTCCTCTTGATCTCTGAGCCATCTGTCTGATTCCTTAACTGCTTAAAAGATTTATCTTAGTTATGTTCACGTGTGTGTGGAGGCTGGAAGCCTGGGACCTCTTGGGAGCTGTAGTTACAGGTGGCTGTGAGCTGCCCAGGACCTCTCAGCCAGTTCTCCAGCCAACTTTAGCCTCCATTCTTTTATTTACTTTAAGATTTTATTTCATGTGCATGGGTGTTTTGCCTGCCTTCCTGTCTGTGCATCACGGAAAAAGTACAGTGTCGGAGGAGAAGGAACTGAATCCCCTGAGGACTGGAGTTCACATGGCTATTAGCTGCCGTGTAGGTGATGGGAACTGAACCAGGATCCTCTGGAAGAGCAGCTAGTACACTGAGCCAAACGCAGTCGATTTTAGCCGCTCTCAAGTGTACAGTTCATTCACTGTAAGCACATTCATCATGCCGTCATCGCCCCCATTACCTCAGGAACTATTACTTTCCAGACATACCGGGCCATTGGCATTAGTCTCCTACCACAACCACACGCTGCCATGTCAATGGCTCAATGCTGGAGAGCTTTCACAGAAAGGTGTGCCGGTTACTTCAGTCTGGGGCTTCTGGGGCACCGGTGTTGTCCCAGCTCTTGGTATCAGTGGCGCTGCATCAGGCATGCCTGTGGTGTGGGTGTGGACTCGGGGGTGGGGGGTGGGGGACAGTCACTCCCTGAGGTCAGTTGAGTCACGGTAGTGGTGAGTGGTTGAATAGGTTGGGAGGTAGTGCTCCTGAGACACCTGGCGGCGGAGGCGGCCTGTTTCACCCGGTGTGCCCGGGAGGCCAACGCTTGAGTACTGAGAAGCGCACGGGTACCATCTGGCGGCCAGTGCTGAGCAGCAGCCTGCTGGACTCAGCGGAACTCGAGTTCGAGTTCCGAGCTAGAAGACCTGGGTGCTTTTACCTCCGGTGTCGCGGCAAGACCAAGATCTCAAGGCCAACTGGTGATTCCTGGTGATTTGGAAATAGGAGTCGACCCTGAAAGAGATAACCCCCAGCTTGGAGTCGGGTGTGGCAGACATGAGTGGCTAGATTCAGCCGGTGGGTGATTCTGGGAGCTGCGACGGTCACGCCCACCGCTGTAGGGTTGCTTTTGTAAGCGCCAATCACAACGTCCTCCACAGGTAACTTTTGTAAGGAGTACAGCGAACGGTTTCAGGTGGACCTGCCTTTCCTCTGTTTTCGCAGCCAGGGTGTCTCGCTTGTTTTATTGAGCCAGACTGCACTTTTCTGAGTTGAGGTCTGCAGCCCACTGAGGTAGCAGCCCCACACAAGCTTTCAGACCTCTCAACTATGGCTGTGGGTTTTTGTTTGTTTTGTTGGTCAGACAAAGCCTAGCCTCAAACTTGCTGTGTGTTGGAGGTTGGCCTTGAACCCTCATCCTCCTGTCTCTACCTCACAAATGTTGGTATTAAAGACACAGAGGGTCACACAGAGTTCCATCAGCATCGGTAGAACCAGAGCCTAACCATAGGTCCAGGCCACTTCTGGGCTCCTAACTCCAAAACATCATGAGGTTATGTTTTGGGATATGTTACACAGCATAAAGTGTATAACAGTCAGATGGGGCGTGTGGGTCAAAGTTTCTAGCCTCCGAACCTATTTCCTCATTCACATCATGAGGACTGGTTTAAGAGACAGAAACAGCATGAGCCATGTGCACACCAGACACTTCCCAGCCCCTTCTAAGATGGTTCCCATCATCCTCCTGCCCTCCATGACCTCATAATGTCACCCCAAGCCACTGCATGTGTGGCTCAGGGATACTCTGCAGACAAAAGACATTCTGGGTACAGAAGGGACAGACAGTCCCTCTTCTTTATTTTGGGTACCAATGAACTGTACCAGATCAGGTAAGAGCATTTCCCCTCCTGTCCATTGTCCTGGGGTGGGCAGCCAGACCCTACTTACACAGGTGCCCTGTCTTTGCAGCGGTAAGAACAGCCTGGCCAAGCCTGGCTTGGGCCTTGCCAAGCCTGGCTTGGGCCTTGCCTGTTGGCAACCGTGAAGGTCCTAGAGACAGAACTGTCCTCAGCTTCCTGCTGCCCTCCTTTCCGTGCTCTTGTTACCTGCTGAGTTGCCTTTAAAACCTGTGTGTGTGTGTGTGTGTGTGTGTGTGTGTGTGTGTGTGTGTGTGTGCGCAGGTGCCCTCATAAGCCAAAGGTGTCAGATCTCCCTGGAGCCAGAGTTGCAGGCAGCTGTGAGCAGCCTGATGAGGGTGTTTGTAGCAGGCTTTCTTGGACTACGCAGTTCCCCAAATCATGACACGGAGATTGATTGTTAACTATGAATACTTGGCCTTAGTTAGGCTTGTTTCTACCTAGTTTGTTTTTAACTTAAATTAACCCATTTCTATTATCTGTGTGCTGCCCCGAGGCTCATTTACGTCACCTATGTACTGTCCATCCTGCTTTCCTGCTTCCTCTGTGTCTTGCTGGCTGGGCCCCCTTTATCTCTGCCCACCTGCCCTGCCTATCCCTCCTCTGCCTAACTATTGGCCATTCAGCTTTTTATTAGACCAATTAGGTGCCTTATACAGGCAAGGTGAAACAGCAGCACCTTTACATAGTTAAACAAATATTCCACAATCTAAATAAATGCAACACATCTTTACGTAGTTAAACAGGCACTGGGAACTGAACTTGGGTCTTCTGCAAGTTCAGTATATGTTCTTACTGCTGAGCCATCACTCCAGCCCACCTTTTATTTTAACCAGCATACCACCATGCCCAGGTTTTTTATGTGGACTCTGGGGAATTAACTTAGGTTCTTATGTTTGCAAGGCAATCATTTTACCAAATAAACCATTTACCGGCTCATCTTAGGCTTTTATTATATTTTTGTTTGTTTGTTTTGTTTTTGTTTTTTCGAGACAGGGTTTCTCTAGCTTTGGAGCCTGTAGCTCTTGTAGACCAGGCTGGTCTCAAATGCACAGAGATCTGCCTGCCTCTGCTGCCTCTGCCTCCCAAGTACTGGGATTAAAGGCGTGCATCACTACTGCCTGGCTTATTTTTTGTTTTTTTTTTTTCGAGACAGGGTTTCTCTCTGTAGCTTTGGAGCCTATCCTGGAACTCACTCTGTAGACCAGGCTGGCCTTAAATTCACAGAGATCTGCCTGTCTTTGCCTCCTGAGTGCTGGGATTAATGGCCTGTACCACCACTGCCTAGCTAGGCTTTTATTTTAATTTTTTAAATTTTTCATCAATTTATTGGGATCTGAACTTGTACTTCTGAAGTAGCACATTTGTCTACTATGTTTCTAAATTTGATTCCCAATACCACAACATGCACAAAAAACTATATACACTTAAATTTTTTTACAGGCCTCACATAGTGGCTCAGACTTTTAATCCTAGCACTCAGGAAGCAGAGGCAGGCAAGTATCTGTGAATTCAAGCCCAGCCTGGCCTGCCTATATTGTGAGTTCTAGACTGACCAAGGCTAGATAGTAAGTCCTCACCTGAAAAATAATATTTTATTTTGTGTAGGTGTACGTTGTGTGGGTATATGTGTGCCATGGTGCAACTGTGGGGATTAGAGGAGCACCAGTAGCAGTTGGTTCTCTTCTGTGTGTGGTCCTCACACAACACAGGCCATCATGATTGGCAGCAGATGCTGCCACCTACTTATACCAGCTTAGCCATCTGTTGGCCTGCCACATACTTATAGCAGGAAACATATCTGCTGTATTTCCCCCACTTCTGAGAGGGGTTCACTCCATGACCAAGGCTGGCCTTGAACCTGAGATCCTCTTACCTTAGCCATCAGAATGCTAAAATTAAAGGAGCCTGCCACCACATCTCATTGTTTGTCTCTACCAGAGAATGATCCTTGGACCTCACAGACTTCCGTCAATCTGCCACTGCTCTGCATCTCCCAGCATCCCACCTCACTTTCAGTGGATTTTTACACATATTTCACATGTATGTGTGTATCGTGTGTGTCACAGCCTGTATGGTAGTTAGAAGACAACTTTTAGGAGTCTGTTCTCTCTTTCATCGTGTGGGTCCCTTGATTGGACTCAGGTCATCAGGCTTGGCAGCAAGTGCCTTTACCTGCTGAGCCCTCTTGCCAGCCATTGTTGGCTTTAAAAAATATTTTTTTTCAAGACAAGTTTTTTTCTGTGTAACAGCCTTGGCTGTCCTGGGACTTGTCCTGTGGACCAGACTGGTCTCGAATTTAGAGATCTGCCTGTCTCCTGAGTGCTGGGATTAAAAGTTTGTACCACCATTGCCTGGCAGTTTTGTTTATTATTAACTTGCTTCTTTCTTATTACTTTGAAAAAAATTTTGACTTTTTGAAACTGGGTTTCACTATGTGGCCCTGACTGGTCTGGAACTCACTTCATAGACCAGGCTGTCCTGAACTCAACAGAGATCCATCTGTCTCTGCTTCCCAAGTGCTGGGGTTAAAAACCTGTGCCATCATACCTGCTTTGGCTGGTTTCTTTAACTTTACTCTTTTTCTGTTAGAACTTTGTTCTGTTTCTTGCGTTTCAATCTCCAGAATAAACATAAGGTTGTTAGTATGTATGTATGGTGTGTATGTGCATATGTGTTCCATGTATGTGTGTATGCATGTGCAGGCCTGAAGTTGACACTGGGTCCCTTGATGACCCTCCACTTTTATTTATTGAGGCAGGATCTCTCAAACAAACTCAGAGCTTACTAATAGACTAGGCTAGCCAGCTGCTTGCCCCAAGAATCTCCTGTCTCTACCTTTTGAATGTTGAGTACCCTCCCTATTAAGTGGGTTCACAAGATCCAAACTCCAGTCCTCATGCTTGTGTGACAAGGACTGTTCCCACTGAGCCTTTTCCTCCTTCCTATTTTATCTCATTTTTATTTTAGTGGTCCTGGGGATTAAATTCAGAGCCTCACGCATGCTAGGCCAGCTCTCTCCCTTGGAACTACGTTCCCTAGCCCTCATTGTTTATTTTGTTCAATTGATTTTGATGAGCCTTGGTTGGTGTTTTGCTTGCATGTATGTCTGTTTGAGGATGTCAGATCTTCTGGAATTGGAGTTATAGACAGTTGTGTGCTGCTGTGTGTGGGTGCTGGGAATGGAAGAGCAGAGCAGCCATTTTTTTTTTTTTTTAAAGATCTGGTTTCTCTGTAGCTTTGAAGCCTGTCCTGGAACTAGCTCTTGTAGACCAGGCTGGCCCCGAACTCACAGTGATGTTCTTGCTTCTGCCTCCCAGAGTGCTGGGATTAAAGGTGTGTGCCACCACTGCCCGGCTCTTTTTTCTTTCTTTCTTTTTTTTTTTTTTGGTCTTTTCTCTCTCTCTTCCTTCCTTCTTTTTTCCAAGACAGTATTTCCCTGTGTAGCTCTGGCTGTCCTGGAACTCAGATCCATATACCTCTGCCCTTCAAGTGCTAGTATTAAAGGTGTGTGCCACTGCCACCACTACCCACCTTTGAATATATTTTTTAAAGAATATAATATAGGCCCATAATTTCCCCTTCCCTCTCTGCCCTCTAAACCCTCCATGTGCCTCACCCCTTGCCCACTAAATGCATGGTCCTTTTCTCTCATCTCTGCTGTCAGGACCAAGGATGCTGCTCAATGGTTAATCATTTGCTTCGAAGGAGGGAGGCTGTGGCTGTAATCCTCAGTAACACAAAGCAGGAGTACATTCATGAGCGAGAGTTTCTGAAGTATGGCTCTCCTGTCTCAGCCTTCTGAATAGAGTCACCATGCCCAGCTCCATTTTTATCAATTGTGATTTGTGTCTGTTGCTAAAAGACCAAATAGTGGACCTGGAGAGATGACTCAGCTTTAAACACACTGTTTGTTCATCTTGATGACCAGGTTCAATTTCCAGCAGTCACACGACAACTTAAATCATCTTTAACTCTAGTTCAGGGCATTCGATGCTCTCTTCTGACCTTCCTAGGCATGGCACACAAATAGTATTCAGACATACATGCAGGCAAAATTCCCATACATATAAAATTTAAAATGAAAAAAAAAGTTCGAAAAAGACTGATAAAATCAGCAGCCTCCCTGTCTTCCTGCTCTTTATGTCCATCTTTCTCAGTAGTGTCTATATCTTGAGTCATCATTTGTGGCTATATATTGCTTTTGTGCTGAATACCCTGCCACAGCTCCAGCCTCATGTCAAGAAAGCCTGATGATTCAGGGTTGAGTCAGCACCTGATCATGTCTGTAAATATCACACACAGCAGGAGAGGCACTAAAGAGGCTCAGCCCCCACCCCCCACCCCCGCCGCCGTGGAGTTTTTTCATCAATTACGTCAGCTTCTCAACTCAGCTTTCTCTGAGTTGAGAACTTACCTTTTTAAGTATTTTTCTGGAGTACTCAGGAAGGCTGCATGCTTATGGTCTGGGTGCTTCCGTCCCACAGGTCTTATCTTGGCTTTTTCCATCTAAACTTTTCTTTCTTTCTTTCTTTCTTTTTTTGTTTGTTTTTTCAAGATAGGGTTTCTCTGTAGCTTTGGAACCTATCCTGGAACCCACTTGGCAGACCAGGCTGACCTCGAACACACGGAGATCCACTTGCCTCTGCCTCCTGGGTGCTGAGTGCTGGGACTGAAGGTGTGTGCCACCACTGCCTGGCTCCATTTAAACTTTTACCTCCTCCCTGTGCACTTCAACTCCATTGATTTGATTTTTGTTCTTCCCTACAAGACTTATTACCTTCCAATATGCTATAAAATCTGCTCATTAAGTTTTTTCTCTTCCCCCCACTCCTGTATTAGTACCAGAATACCACAGGGAAACTTTGTGTTTAGTTCACTGGTGAATTACCAAGCACAGTGCTTGGCACAGGGGAGGCTGGATGGCTGTTGAAAGGACACAGAGGACCTGGTATTTCCCTATGCTCGCTCTATTCCTGTGTATTCTTTGTTTCTTCTGTGACTCTCATATCTTCTTTCTTGGTTTGTTCCTTTATTTTTGATGAAACACATCTTTCAGTAACTTTCTGAGAAAGGGAGTATGATCTCTCTCTCACACACACCCACACACCTATAGCTCTGTATGTATCAATACTCAGTGGTTACTGTAGAGTTTTGTCAATGGTTTCATGTATAAAATGACTGAATATTAACCATTTTCATGTTAATCATATAAAAGATTAATCATATAAAGTGGTTAGTATTCCCTCAAAACAAGCAAGACCTAAATAAAACTGACAGGATTGGGAGGCAGTTGAGTAGAATTGGCTGGGTCTGGTTTTGAAACCTGCATTCCGTGATCTAACTCCGTAAGAGTGGTCAGTGCAGCCTCTGTTTCCTCACGTGGATAGTGGGAATGACCACAGTACCTGCTGCTCGTGGGGCCATCAAGTAAGTGTTAGGCTGACACTCTGCTCTTCCTGTGTGGCAGGGTAAATGGTGCAAGGCAGTGATGACAAAGTCTTCCACGGTGTACACTGGCAGGAGCTTTGGCCCCTCTGGCTTGTCTTCGTGTATTCTTCGGATGGGAGAGTAACCTGGAATGTCCTTTGTGGAACACGGCAGGCGATTTAGCAGTAATGAACTTCACTTTGATCCACTAAGTTCATAGGTTACAAATTTATCCAAGAGATCAAGTAAGGGTGTAGGACCTGGTTCATGAGAACAGAACAAAATTGGGCACCATTTTATATTTGGTATGTTAGCAGAGATTTATCAATATGTGGGTTTATAAACATCTTACCTGTTAATGGAATGTTCCTCCAATGGAGTCCTCTGAAGCTGAGGCAGAAGGTGACCAGGGGCCATAGAGAACACAGGGTGACATAGTGCCAAGTGCTAAAGGAAGGATGGACAGCAAGTCAGCATGGATAGAAAGAGACCTCAGGGCCCTCGGAGTCATTTGTAGTCACCTGATGCTTTAACCCTCCCCCCCCAGTGTGTGTGTGTGTATGTGTGTGTGTGGCTGGAGAAATGGCAGAGGTTAGAACATTTGTTGCTCTTTTTCTGAACACTCACACGTTGATCACAACCATCTCCAGTTTCAGGTGATTCAATACCCGCTTCTGACCTCTGTGGGCACCAAACACACATGGGGTATGCAGACAGATATACATGCAAGAAAAACATACAACATAAAAAAATGAATCAATTGGGGGCTGGAGAGATGACTCAGAGGTTAAGAGCACTGACTGTTCTTCCCGAGTTCAATTTCCAATGACCACATGGTGGCTCATGACTATCTGTAATGACATCTGGTGCCCTCTTCTGACCTGCAGGCATACATGCAGGCAGAACACGAAATATATATATATATATATATATATGTATATATATATATATATAATAAAAATTTAAAAAACATATTGTATCTGTGTGATGGGGATATACATATGCATGGAGTCAGTCATCAGCTGTCTTGACTTAGGCTGGGTTAAACTCAGTTCCTTAGGCTTGTACAGCAAGTATTTTTCCTGCTGAGTCATGTCAGGTCTGTTGTTCAGGGTCTAGAATAACTGGCTCACAAATTTCTAGGGATTCTCTTGTCATTGGAATACTGAGTTTACAGATGAGCTTACTAGTGGCTGGCTTTACGTGACTATGAGGATCCAAACTCAGGTTTTCATACCTTTACAGCCAAGTATTTTACTCACTGAGCCATCTCTTAGCCTTTTTGTTTCTGTAGACCAGACTGGCCTCAAACTCACAGAGATCTGCCTGCCTCTGCCTCCCGAGTGCTGGGATTAAAGGCGTGCGCCACCACTGCCCAGCCCCATTTGTTGTTTTAAGGCCTATAAACATATGGCAGACTGGGAGGATGGGTAGCTATGGGCTGTATCTTTAGGGGTTGACATACATTATACATCCACTAGAGAATGGATGCCTAGGTCTCCATTCTGGCACTGCAAACTGTAGAACTGCCACTCCAGGGAATGCTTCCTCATCTGAAAATTGGGGCAACAATGTTAGGGATGCTTTAGGATAAAATTCCTCACTGAGAGTCAGTATAAAGTAGCTGTTAATGCCATCACTGCTTGTTTAGCAATTCATTCTGCTTACGTGGGATCATGAATTTACTGAATGCATGCTGGCTGCTCTATGCCATCTAAATTTTTTTTTTTTGGCACAAAGTCTTGCTATATTACGCAAGTTGGCTTTGTTGGTTTTTTTTGTTGTTGTTGTTGTTATTGTTTTGAGACAGGGTTTCCCTGTAGCTTTGGAGCCTGTCCTGGAACTTCCTGGCCTCAAACTCACAGAGATCCACCTGCCTCTGTCTCCTGAGTGCTGGGATTAAAGGCATGCGCCATTACTGCCAGGCTTCAGATTGGCTTTGAACTCCTGGACTCGATTGATTCTCCTACAAGGTTAGAAGGCTCAACAGGTATACTCGACTTCATGTGATGTTAAACCGTCTTTTGAGTGGGGCAGGTAGCAGTATATTTTTAGTAACCTACTGAGTTTGGTTAGTGCTGACTGTGTGAATGTGTGTGGGTCATCCATTTGAGCATGGACAACCTTCCAATGGCCACACCCTCAGAGAAAAAAGGCTCTTTCCCAGCGACTATCGCTTCCCGCAATCCCTCAGACAGGTGTGGGGCCTTGCAAGGCCCTCTCCTTCCGTGTTGGAGCTGTGACTGCTTGATCTTGTCAGGTGGCCGCAGCTGCTGGGAGCTCCTGCGCGTCTTGGCCATGTACTCAGGAGATGGCGTTTCTCAGCGTTCCTCCCCGTTTGACAACTCCTACATTCTTTCCTTTCCCTCTCTCTCAACGTTCTCGAAGCCTTATTTGGAAGGGGAATGATATAGATGTCCCATTTATTTTTGTTTGTTTTTTGAGACAGGGCTTCTCTGTGTAGTCCTGGCTGTCCTGGAATTCACTTTGTAGACCAGGCTGGCCTCAAACTCAGAGATCCTCTGCCTCCCAAGTGCTGGAATTAAAGGTGTGTGTCACTGGTCAGTTAGCCTAGCAGAATTAGCAAGCTCCAGGGGGAGAACGGTATAGAAGACACCTGGCATCCACACACAAGTGCACATACACATACACTATACACAAAGCACAAAACGCTTTTTTTTTTATTCTTTTTTCTGACAGGGTTTCTCTGTGTAGCCCTGGCTGTCCTGGAACTCAAGCCATAGACCAGGATGGCCTTGAACTCCCAGAGATTCTTTTCTGTCCCTGCCTCCAGAGTGCTGGAATTAAAGGCGTGCGCCACCTCTGCTCGGCAACAAAGGTTTTTTTTTTTTTAAAGTAAAGATTGTAAAATTTGTATTTTCACCACAATTATAAAACAACAGCAACATTGTCAGTAATAATAACTAAATCAGGGTATGGCGGCTCACACCTGTAATTTCAGCAGTTGGGAGGCTGAGACAGGAGGATTGTTGCAAGTATGAGGCCAGTCTGGGTTACACGGTGCGATCTTGTTGAGATAAAAGGAAATAAGAAGAAAAGCAAGTTCACAAAGACATCCAGAAAGAAAAAAGACACCCACCAAAATATAGGCACAGTTTCCGAGGCGGTCAGTGACGGCGACTTGTTTTCTGCTTCCAATAATAGGATAGCCCAACCGCTTTCACGGATCATTCGTGAGCTGGGACTCAAAGAAATTCAAGGAGTCCAGGCAGCGGGTTCAAGCCCAGCCTTGCTGCTGCCCCAGGCAAGCCTTTGCCGGCTGGCCGGTCAGCCTCAGTTTACCTGACCTGGAACGCGGATGACAGCTCGGCGCCCCAGACCCGGCCCCTCCCCGCCTCCACGGATTGGCTCGCTCGATCCCCCTCTACAGGCGCGCCGGGACTCAACCCGGAAATGCGGCTCCTGGGCGGGGGCGGGGCACTCCCGGCATGAGGCGAGTGATAGGTATGCTGACCAATGGACGTGGGCAGCGGCGTCTGCGTCGCGGAAGTCCCACCCAGCGTCGCGCGGGGGCGGGGTGGCGCTGGGGGCGGCAGGCAGCGGGGCGGGCGCAGGAT